ACACGCTGTACGATTTTTTGCCCTTTTCGGGCTGATTCTCTAGTCTTGTTTTTGGTCGCGCTGACTTTCAGCCTGATCATGCGTCGTGCAGTGTATAGGGGGTAACGAGGGTCAATCAACCTCTTACGACCACCTCCCGATAAGGAATCGTAACATCGAAGAAAATCAAACATCTTTGAAATCCAGTCGGCCATCGTAAGGTCGCACCAGAGTGTCGGGTCACACAGTGTGACAAGATGCATTATGAGCTGTGAACTTTTGAGCCCTGCGGTTTCGTCATACAGTTTGAGCTGTAACTGCGAGCAATGATTGAAAATATCGTACAGTGTATGCCCGACTTTAGTCTGGCTATCTCAGACCGACTCGAAGATATTGACTGAGTTAGCCATCGACATTGTGTCTAAAGGTAAAAAGTAGAGTAAATAGAAAGTAATTCACAGTAAAATGTCAATGTTCTAATTCTTTATTAAGTGGGTGATGCTGTCGTTTTTGTAGTGTTTGTTGTATTTCTCTTTGGAAAAAGTCTTGTGATTAAATAAATTGCATGTTATATTGATGAAAAAAAGCAACTCAAAAATTTTTAAAGGCTAATACACATCATGCATGCACAATTTCCAAATAGGAAAATACTATAGCATTAACAGACTTGTAAAATCTTGAAATTATATGTAATGTGTAATTACCACAACAATGTCATTAATACATGTACATTACCGTTCAAAATGTTTGGGGTCACCAAAACAATTTAGTGTTTTCCTTAAAAGTCACACTTATTCACCACCATACGTTGTGAAATGAATAGAAAATAGAGTCAAGACATTGACAAGGTGAGAAATAATTATTTGTATTTGAAATAAGATTTAGTTTTTTACATCAAACTTTGCTTTCGTCAAAGAATCCTCCATTTAAAGCAATTACAGCATTGCAGACCTTTGGCATTCTAGCTGTTAATTTGTTGAGGTAATCTGGACAAATTGCACCCCACGCTTCCAGAAGTAGCTCCCACAAGTTGGATTGGTTGGATGGGCACTTCTTGCGTACCATACGGTCAAGTTGCTCCCACAACAGCTCAATGGGGTTCAGATCTGGTGACTGCACTGGCCACTCCATTACCGATAGAATACCAGCTGCCTGCTTCTGCTCTAAATAGTTCTTGCACAATTTGGAGGTGTGTTTAGGGTCATTGTCCTGTTTGTGGATGAAATTGGCTCCAATCAAGCGCTGTCCACTGGCTATGGCATGGCAAAATAGAGTGATAGCCTTCCTTATTCAGAATCCCTTTTACCCTGTACAAATCTCCCACCTTACCAGCACCAAAGCAACCCCAGAACATCACATTACCTCCACCATGCTTAACAGATGGTGTCAGGCATTCTTCCAGCATATTTTCATTTGTTCTACGTCTCACAACCTGTCTTCTTTGTCTTCCAAACACCTCAAACCTGGATTCATCTGTTCACAACACTTTTTTCCAGTCTTTCTCTGTCCAATGTCTGTGTTCTTTTGCCCATCTTAATCTTTTTCTTTTATTGGCCAGTCTCAGATATGGCTTTTTCTTTGCCACTCTGCCCTGAAGCCCAGAATCCCACAGCCGCCTCTTCACTGTAGATGTTGACACTGGTGTTGCGGGTACTATTTAATGAAGATGCGAGTTGGGGACCTGTGAGGCGTCTGTTTCTCAAACTAGAAACTCTAATGTACTTATCTTCTTGCTCAGTTGTGCAATGCGGCCTCCCACTTCTTTTTCTACTCTGGTTAGAACCTGTTTGTGCTGTCCTCTGAAGGGAGTAGTACACACCGTTGTAGGAAATATTAAATTTCTTAGCAATTTCTCTCATGGAATAGCCTTCATTTCTAAGAACAAGAATAGACTGTCAAGTTTCAGACGAAAGTTCTCTTTTTCTGGCCATTTTAAGCGTTTAATTGACCCCACAAATGTGATGCTCAAGAAACTCAATCTGCTCTAAGGAAGGTCAGTTTTGTAGCTTCTACAATGAGCTAAACTGTTTTCAGATGTGTGAACATGATTGCACAAGGGTTTTCTAATCATCAATTAGCCTTCTGAGCCAATGAGCAAACACATTGTACCATTAGAACACTGGAGTGATAGTTGCTGGAAATGGGCCTCTATACACCTATGTAGGTATTGCACCAAAAACCAGACATTTGCAGCTAGAATAGTCATTTACCACATTAGCAATGCATGTAGTGTATTTCTTCAAAGTTAAGACTAGTTTAAAGTTATCTTCATTGAACAGTGCTTTCCCTTCAAAAATAAGGACATTTCAATGTGACCCCAAACTTTTGAACGGTAGTGTATATTACATCTTCATAGTCGGTTTAGCACTTTTGACACATCCGTATTACTACAGTATGATCCATTAACACATTTTGTTGTGATGTACTTGTATGTCATATCACATGATTTAAGGCTTCATTGACTTCATAACGGCTATGCAATGAAATGTGCCTTTTTTTAATCCTAAATTACAGTACAGAAAGTGTGTTTCCAAGTGATGAATGAATCTTTATTTTGAAAGTCGTTAGCCCCCCTGAAAATGGGATCATCCTTGTTTGATGCTGTAGCGCACGTATTCTTTATATTGCGACCGGTCTATCTAAGGAGTATCAATATGGCGGCCGTTGGCTTCACTTCACCCCATACTACCAACGGGCCATCAGCCATGTAGTGAATAAATAGAAATCAGTGTTTCAAACCATGACTTCTTGTAATACCAACAGTAACCTTGGAAATGTTGATCCCAGCTCCTCTCCTGTAGTTCCGAGCTGATTTCTCGTTTTTCTGAGGATCATTAAGACCCCACAAGGTGATATCTTACATGGAGCCCCAATCTGAGGGAGATCAACACTGACATTGTTTAGCTTCCTCAATTTTCTAATGATTGCTACAAAAGTGGACATTTTTTGTCCCAAGCTGCTTGGCAATTTCGCCAGTAGCCCTTTCTAGCCTTGTGGAGGTGTAAAATTGTCTCTAGTGTCTTCGGACAGCTCTTTGGTCTTGGCTATGTTGGATTGTTACTGATTGTGTGGGGTGGACAGGTGTCTTTATGCAGTTAACGACATCAAACAGGTGCATCTGATTTAGGATATTAAATAACAGTATTGGTGGACATTTTGAAGGCAGACTAACAGGTCTTTGAGGGTCAGAATTCTAGCTGAAAGGCAGCTGTTCAAATACATTTTTGAAGCTGTATCATACAAATCAGTTTTTTTTTTTTTTAAATCATAGGTACACTATATTGCCAAAAGTATTTGCTCACCCATCCAAATTATTGGAATCAGGTGTTCCAATCACTTCCATGGCCACAGGTGTATAAATTCAAGCACCTAGGCATGCAGACTGTTTTTACAAACATTTGTGAAAGAATGGGTCGCTCTCAGGAGCTCAGTGAATTCCAGCGTGGAACTGTGATAGGATGCCACCTGTGCAACAAATCCAGTCGTGAAATTTCCTCGCTCCTAAATATTCCACAGTCAACTGTCAGCTGTATTATAAGAAAATGGAAGTGTTTGGGAACGACAGCAACTCAGCCACGAAGTGGTAGGCCACGTAAACTGACGGAGCGGGGTCAGCGGATGCTGACGCGCATAGTGCGAAGAGGTCGCCAACTTTCTGCAGAGTCAATCACTACAGACCTCCAAACTTCATGTGGCCTTCAGATTAGCTCAAGAACAGTGCGCAGAGAGCTTCATGGAATGGGTTTCCATGGTCGAGCAGCTGCATCCAAGCCATACATCACCAAGTGCAATGCAAAGCGTCGGATGCGGTGGTGTAAAGCACGCCGCCACTGGACTCTAGAGCAGTGGAGACGCGTTCTCTGGAGTGACGAATCGCGCTTCTCCATCTGGCAATCTGATGGACGGGTCTGGGTTTGGCGGTTGCCAGGAGAACGGTACTTGTCTGACTGCATTGTGCCAAGTGTAAAGTTTGGTGGAGGGGGGATTATGGTGTGAGGTTGTTTTTCAGGAGCTGGGCTTGGCCCCTTAGTTCCAGTGAAAGGAACTCTGAATGCTTCAGCATACCAAGACATTTTGGACAATTCCATGCTCCCAACTTTGTGGGAACAGTTTGGAGCTGGCCCCTTCCTCTTCCAACATGACTGTGCACCAGTGCACAAAGCAAGGTCCATAAAGACATGGATGACAGAGTCTGGTGTGGATGAACTTGACTGGCCTGCACAGAGTCCTGACCTCAACCCGATAGAACACCTTTGGGATGAATTAGAGCGGAGACTGAGAGCCAGGCCTTCTCGTCCAACATCAGTGTGCGACCTCACAAATGCGCTTCTGGAAGAATGGTCAAAAATTCCCATAAACACACTCCTAAACCTTGTGGACAGCCTTCCCAGAAGAGTTGAAGCTGTTCTAGCTGCAAAGGGTGGACCGACGTCATATTGAACCCTATGGATTAGGAACGGGATGTCACTTAAGCTCATATGTGAGTCAAGGCAGGTGAGCAAATACTTTTGGCAATATAGTGTATTTCTGGATTATGTGTCTCACAGTGACATGCACCTACTTTGACAATTTCAGACCAATGACTTCTAAGTGGGAGAAACTACAAAATAGCAGGGTGTTCAAATACATATTTCACTGTATAATGAAAATTAAACCTCGCATCTATATATGAAAATGTAATCAGTGCCGATTGTGTCATTTCTCCACTGTTTAATATGTTGGTTTAACGAACCCGGCCTCTACCCAGGTATGTACCTAGCCTGGCCTGTGGTGGTATGTTGCCTTTTAGCCATTTTACAGGAAGTGCAAGAACAGGGAATGTCTATGCCTTTACATCAAGTGGATTCTTCTGCATGCGTATGGAACAGCTGGAGATTGACATTGACAAGCTGGATTATAACATGTTTGAGTAACTTGTTCATTCAAAATACCTGGTGGGATACAGTAACTGATCAGATTTTGATGTTTTGGTCACATTTTATTGACATATAAAGACCCTTGAAACCACAATGAGCATGAGATGGGTGTTATAGAAAGTAATTTATTACACAAACCAAAGCTAGTTTACAAATAGATTCCAGTCATGTGCGTGTGTATAGTCTAGTATGAACAAACCCCTTTTCATATTTACAGACTTTGCATACAGCATGTTTTTTATTTTCTGTTCCTTTGTTTACTGCTTCAGCATTCGAAAAATCAGGAATTAAAAATCAAGAGTAAAATCTAACAAAAAAAAGAAAAATGATTTGTAAATCATCAGAACAATACCGGTAAAGCGCCAAGAAGGGGAAAAAAAAAAAAACAACTTAAGCAACATGAGTGATTCCCTAGACTTCCACCTCCTATTTTCTTAAATACTGATAGACATGTTTATGACTTAAAAAAAATAAGGGGGGGGGGTTGGAAATAAAATTATAATTCAACACAAGACTGGTTTCAGGAACAGGCTCCACCCAGTAGGCCAGGAAGAAGAACAGGAGGGTATAATGCTGCCAAGAGACCCTGAATCTGCCAGTTAAAAACACAAATAACCTTGTTGATTAAGCCAAATAAAGACTGGCCACACCTCTTTTCAGAAAAGGTCCTAAAAAATAAAATAAAATAGACTGCAGACGGTTAACTCTTTAACTGCACAGACACTTAAGATGGCATTAACAAGATCCATCTGGCTGGCCAACCCAACAACGCTGACGCTCCCATATAAAATATTACAGATAAACATTTTTTTTTTGCTTTTTATTACACATCGTTTTCCACTGTGCTAAAAAAAACAAAAAACAAAAATGGAAGCGGTTTACCAATCTAAGTCAAACATGTTAATGACCGTCCATCAGAGGCACCTTACTTCCTCTCGAAAATGAATTGTCATTTTACGGTCAACCTTTTTACATGCCAACACACAAGGATTTCAGTGTTCATCCCAAAACAGAGAATCAGTTTTTTGTGCATGTAAACAATATAACCCACCCACCCTCCCTCCCTCGCCTTGTTCTTTGTCCTGGTCTAAAAGTCAGGGCAAGGTGAGCACCAGCAGTCAGCTAAGTGGAACAGGAAGGGATTGAAGCCGGTCAGGCCCCCGCTATGCAGGGCAGGAAGCCACCTTTGTTGTCCATCGGGACAAGGTTTTCTCTGCCACTTCCACTGATTCAGGCGAACAGATTTAAATGTAAAAAGAGCATGCAAATAATGGCTGAATACATTCTCTAAGTAAATACACCAGGAGCAGTAAAGGCCAGCATGTGTTTACTTGCGATGCATGGCCACAAGTAATTTTCCAGTGATCTTCTGGACGTTGCCAACAGCTTGAAACAACACAGTCAGCATGGAGCTTGCTTTTTTTTTTTTGGGATGAAGCATGTATTAACAGGTCACCTGTAGATTATCCTAGCCAGGCTAAACCTCAAAGTGTTTGTCTCAGAGTCTATGAGCACAGGATTAGACCCAGTGAGAGAATCAAGCAACAGAGGTATGAGCATGGGAGCACGCTAGGTTAAACTAGCCAGTCTGCTCATTTGGTATCTTACAGAAAGATCTGGGATAGTCCTGTTGACAGCTAATGTTCACTGGTGTTATACCCAGTTCAAGTAATTTTGTCACTGCATTCAAAAAGCAAATTGAGAACTACTGCTCTGGTTTGCTGCCTGCATCATCTGAAATCTTTGGGGCGATCCAATTTCAGCCCTAAATCCAAACTAAAACCTGAATATTCGTCTCCTAGTAAATAATTTAACTCCAGTCTGCTTAAAAACCAAGTTTAACCAGTCTGACAGTGGACTGGGATTTCTCAATCAGTGTCAGTGGCTTGCAAAACAGAAAAAAAAGACCAAATATAACCAACTCTTGGCTGGTAGCTGGTGTTAATCTCCCGCCCCAATGAAACACACACAGGTGAAGAGCCCGATGCTTTACAGCGGTAGTCAGTTCCTTTGCTCCCTCCTTCCTAAACCCAAGTCCTAGGGTAAATAGAGTCCAACAAACAGCCAGTTTACAGCGGTAGTCATGTACTGCAGTCTTTATTTCCCCTTCCCTCCCTGTCTTTCTAGTAATCCCTCCTTCCCCACTGAGCCCTATCCCTGGGTGTAACAGCCCAGGACGAAAACAGTCCAAATATGTCTGCCCTTTTACAGCAGTGCACATTTATTGCTCTTCTTCCCACGACGGGCCTGGAGCGCTGCCCTGGTGGCCATCTCGAAAACCTCCCGTACTCCATCCTTAGTTTTTGCAGAGCACTCCATGTAACCAAAAGCTGCAATGCGCCCTGCCATGTCCCGGCCTTCTTCCGACTTTACCGGCTCCTGTTGAATGAAGAGACAAATCAGGAATTTAGGAATAAAACACATTTACTGTAAAAGTTGATGAAAGACACAGTTCTTTGCCTCTTCCAAAGCAAAATGACTTTGTTAATCTCATCTTCAATTTAGGGCCAACTGTGTACGTTATTCGCAAATATTTCATAAACACGTCTACGCACCAATTAGGACAACAATACAACAATCTGACAGTTCAACAAAAAGGAATGATAAGATCACGTTCAATACCCGTCTAATAAACATCACACTGAATGCTCCAATCTTGTGGGGGGAAAAAAAATTCGAAACCTATTAAATATTAATTAAGTTCAGACAGTTTTTAAAGAGGATATTTTAAAGACGAACTTTTAAAAAAAAAGAAGTTTTAATTTCACTAAAAATCTCACATGCATATTTAGGATATGATTATTAGATTTTCAACTAATTTTACCTCAGAAGATTCAGAGACTAAATTCCCACAACAGCCCCAAGTAAAAATCATACATTTAGTAAATGACATTAAATCAGTCAGAGCATCATTTCAGATGATAATCTAATCCCTACATTAAAGCAATCAAGGGATACCTGTTTCATCTTGGCCAGCTCTCGGCGTGTGTGCTCGTCATTACGTAGATCTTTCTTGTTTCCTACCAGGATGATGGGGACATTTGGGCAGAAGTGTTTGACCTCCGGGGTCCACTTTTCAGGAATGTTTTCTGAGAGAAAGAAATGGATTATTGACTCATAGCAAGACTGATCAATGAGGGAAGATGTACTCTAGATGGACAATTAAACAAAACCCTCAATAATGTGACCGCTTTTGTATAAATTAGCTTTTCAACAGATATTAGATTTACTAAATTTTCTGATTTGCCAATTAAAAACCTGTTGGGTACTAACTAATGTGTGCAAAACAAGAGAAGGCATGTTGTTATAAGAGAAAAAAGAAGAACATGACTCATGTTACAGCTGAAAAATGTGAAAGCTAAACATTTTATTTGAGGGTTTGCCAAATATTCCTTTTCAAAAAGTTTTAAAAGTCACAGCTTGATGATCTTGATCGACAAAAAAATATCACACTGCAATAATAGGAAAGTGCTTTGGAAAAATAGAAGTGTTGAGTTTTATGTTACACTTAAACACTTATGTGGCTCTGTGGTTTATAATCACCTAAGCTGTCAGGGCTGTCTATGGAGAAACACATGAGGATGACGTCAGTGTCTGGGTAGGAGAGGGGTCTCAGCCTGTCGTAGTCCTCCTGACCTGCTGTGTCCCAGAGAGCCAACTCCACCTGAGGAAAACATCAACATGAAACCAAAGCTACTTTTTTAAAGAAGATGAAACAAGTAAAAACAGGATGGAATGGATCTGAGGTACTCTGTGTTAAAACATTGACTGCATTTCTGCTTAGAAGAGACATGATTAATCAACATGTTTATAACATTCTGACCCACATGAAGTGGTGTGTGTCTCATTCTTTAAAGGAAAGGGTTAAAAATTAACTGGCCACTGAAGACTCAGTCAAAGCTCCCCAGAATGAGGTCAGAACTTTGTGAATGGAGAGGCTTGGCAGTCAGTTATCCCTCAGGAAAAAAAGCACTCAGTTAGGTTAATGGATGAGAATGTCCTACCTGCTTGCCGTCCACCTCGATGTCAGCAACATAGTTTTCAAACACTGTGGGAACATAGACTTCAGGGAACTGATCCTTGCTGAAGACTATAAGAAGGCAGGTCTTCCCACAAGCTCCATCTCCAACTATCACCAGCTTCTTACGGATGGCTGCCATCCCTGGAGAAGGAGGATTAGGAGAGGTTCAACAACAAGAAGGTAAAAGAAAGAAGAAAAAAAAAAAGATAAGTTTCATGTTTGCAACTTGAGGCATGTAGCATTGCAGACCTTCAACGTGCAGAAGTAAAATGCAACACCATGTTCATGGTCAGCCTTGGGTACAGGGGTCCTGAGCTACAAGGAAATAAATCTTAGATATTTAGGTTCTAATAATACCACCCTGTGAGTGTTTCAGACTACTTCATGATATCGACAATAGTGAACTATTGCTTTTAAATAAATTGATTACATTAAATTAAAGACTTTGGTTGTTATGTGCAGCTATAAGTTATAAAATACATTTGAATTGTAGATTGATGAACATAGCTCTAGATCTTTCTATATCAGGAGCTTCCTGTTTCAACACTTAACATTAACAGCACAGTGCAGAAAAATATGTCAGTAAATCACATTTATCCGAGACTCCAGTTATTGAGGATAGCGACAAACTCAAATATGTGGGCAGATAAAGGAGTTAAAGGAAGACAGAGCAAAAAGAGACACAGCCTCTAGCTAGCAGTAACTCTCCTCTGACCAAACAAATATGCCATTGATGGGTGTTATTCACAAGGCATAAATATTAAACTGTCAAGACCTATTTTTATAAAAAGCATGTCAATCTAGGCTAATACACTGGTGTCATTCTGCTTTTTCATCCTTAGATGAATAAAGGTGTAAAAAAAAAAAAAAAACACTGACTCAACAGCTAACAGTGGTCAGATCTGATGCGGTAGCCAGTGAAATGTCTAGTCTTTGTTAATGCCCGACAAAGGAAACAAGCCCTAGAGAAATATTCAATAACCTGGAAAGGATATCCAGGTTAAGAACCCAAAATGCTAACAGTACACTTAGTCTTTCCTTATGAAGTCAGAGGAGATTTCATCTCCGAAGCACCAAAGCTCAGTGAGGTGCTGCATGTGTCCTACAATGGTTCATGAATAGTCTTAAGTAGGACAGCAGTGCCAAAACATGAGATCATTCCCTTTATGACTGAGCATACAAAGAAAAGAAAGTGGGGACAGCTGTAGCCTAGAGGTGGGTCTATGGTCAAGGTTTGAATAAAAGAGCCAGTGGGTCAAGAGACGTGTGACCTGCTTTTAACAGAGGCTGTTCAGGTGTCGTCCATGAGCAGGAGTCTTAACACTGACACTGTCCATCAGCTCATGTTTCTAACGGAGAGGGGAGTTTTTATTTGGTGTATAAATTTTACACGCTCGCCCAGGACATCGATACAAAAATATCTAAATGCTAAAGAAAATAAAAGCCACCAAAAGCAGTGAAACCTGATGACAGGAAAAAGGACATTTTACAATTATGTAAGACTATGAACAGCAGTCAAATGTTGGGGAAAGGTTTTTGACAAACATTGGGGCTAAATATATATCACCACGTCAGATGTGACTCCAAACTACATTTCCAATCAGAAAAATATGACTGTAACCTTTTTAAAATGGATTATGTCTAACAGAAAGGACAGAGAAATAAAATGATTCAAAGTTTATCAAAATAAATCCCCAAAACAAGTCAATGATACAATCAACAATTTTAACAAGTAGCCATCACTCCAAACCCACTAAAGTTAATAATAAGTTATTTTAAAACACAGATGTCTGGGGTGTTGAAGAGTTGTTAGGTGCAACTTTTCAATATGCATTACTGCCTGGTATGACATAGCTGTCGGCATGTTACAGAAGAATCTATCGTTTACAAGATGATTCATCATCTCGTCCTTCACACAACATGAGGTTGCTTTTACAGGCAACCGGCAGGAAATACACCACAGTCCTCAGCCAGACAGAAAGTTTGCAGGTGTTTTTCTTGTGGGGGGAGTATATCAGATGCCCAACATGCAATAAAATTACTGAATTACATTTAATATCGTACGTGTGAAAAAAAAAGATAAGGAAAATGTCTATTTTTTTTAAAAGGGGGTTTGCAGGATGTCAATTGCACTAAAACACATGCAGTTTGTGAAAGCTTAAACAATACTTTTGATGAAATACTTTGTTCCAGAAAGTAAACACAGTTCCTCTTTTTTCTGTATATCTGCAATATCCAAGTATAATAAGTATTTATTTAATATTTTTAATATTAAATAGATACTGGATTTGTAGATGTAACAAATATATGGGAGAGAACAAATCTTATTAGAAATGATAAAGTACATGTGATCAAAAGCTAGGATATCAAGGCATGTCAACACAGCAAAAATGTTTCTCATGTCTTAGAATATTTCAAATAACAAAAACAAATTTACATCCAATACATCATCCCCTAACTAATTACCAAAACTTTCCAAAGTCAACCTGTGGAATGAAAATCATTGCGTATGACATTGCTGCGCTTTAAATAGAGGTCTATTCTTGGTCTGAGGAAGAGACAACAATCAGAGAATATCCCCGAGAATATGACGTAACCTTTCAATAAGTGGAATTAAGTCAGTGTACAGTATGCATGCTCTGCTTCAGACATTGATGCAGGGCAGTAGCAATAGATAAATTAACAAATATGACAAGTCATCTGGCATCATTAGCTTCCGAAACTGGATTTAAAATTTCCAGTATACTGCATCAGAGAAATTATAATTGGCATAAACGCATACAGTTTGATTTTGTTGTACTATACGTACTGAGGAACGCTTCTGCAAACTAGCTGAATTAATCCACGGTTTGTTAAAGAGGACACTGGTTTTCTTCAGAGGACAGAAGATAAATGTACTCCACAGCATTGAGGTTGATGGCATGAAAAAAAAAAAAACTGCAGTGAAACCAGCACACACCCACCCGTCATAGATGCCACTAAACACCATGGTTCTATTCAAATAGTGAACATATTATTCATTGGCAAGATCAACCAGCATATCATGGTAACTAGTGCAAGTGTGGGTTCATTTAACTTTGAAACAAAAGATATGCCCCAAATCAACAACAGTGCAATAACAAATAATTACTAAAATGCACACAAAGCTTTAATATATTCACAATGCCAGTTGCAGATATAAACAGAAAGGGGAAGCAAAGACTGCAGCCATTTATAGTCTTTCCTTTTAGAGTTAAGATATGCAAGTAGCCAGAGCTTCAACGCAGTATTAATTAATAGGAATAATTATGAAAAACCATGAAGGATGTCATTATCACAGCGTCCTAAAGCCTAAAGTGAATAAAACATGTATAGCTGACATCTGCTGATGAAGGGCAGCAAATCACTACATGCAAGGCATGGAAAATAAAAACAGCATCTGTGCATAGAAAGAAAGCAACCAGTGTTAAAATAAACTTTTTTTTCCTCCCTTAAACGGCATGCCACTGGGTGGGTCACCAGAAAGATGGCGTCATCACAGAGGCAACAGATGGCTAGTGTGTCCGCAGTGGAAGAATGGGTGGGTGGCCCCGACATAGACTAAACTACACAACTCAATACAGTCCATAGATTATTCATTAACATTTGAACTACTTATAATTAATACTTAAAATATCGAATAAACTTGATTTAATAAAGATGTGGTGCATAATCACAACTGAGCCCCAAAATCTACAAAAAAAAGGTTTAATACGAGAATGTAAGTAACTTTACTGTTAGTCCAATTGTATCGTAAACACCGTACAAATGGGGATAAAAAACATGACTAAAGGACGAGCGATTAAGAGATAAGAAGCCCTCTGATTAGCAGAGGTAAGTACGGAAAAAAGGACCTCATTGTTTGGTTACGGCTCGCCAATCTAGGCCAGTCTTTCAGGCTCAGTTTTAAAACCCGACAAATCCTTCATCAGTTCCAATTTGAACTCCCAGGACTGGAGATTGCAGGCAAAATAAACTTAAACACTGTTAATTTCTTAACTAGTAAGACATCCGTCTATTTTTTCCCCCCAACAAGTAATGTGGCAAAGTGCGGAAGAAGCAAAGAAACCGAGGTCGGACAGTGGGGGGAGCTAACTTAGCTACAGTAAGCTAACCGAGCTAGCCTTTAGCCTTGGCCTCCGAAATCCAAGGACAACTTTCAAAAATTAAGTCGTCAACTTTTAAACAAAGCAACACGAAACAAGTTCCTTCTCTGTGTCTTTTTGTGGCATATTAAGTAGTTTACCTTCAGTTTACGTGTCGAGCGGTCGGGTTTTTCAGTATTTGTCGAAGCTAAGCGGCTTTACAGTCAGCCCCAGTCGTTCGCTGCTTCCTCCTCTTTCTGCCCGATACAATGAATTAGTTGACGGGAGCGCGCGCCGGCAGGCTAACGCGCTTGGGTTTTGTAGATGGGGGAGGGGTGGCGGGCACGAGCGAAGGAGCCACGCCTGCGCGGGCACGACTGCAAACGAGCACTTCCAGAGAAATATGTAATGTTACTGATTTTAGCTATGAACACTGTTTTCAGGCGTGGCATCTGCTAAACGCTTGTGTAATAACTATCATGATAAACGCTCAACCTCACACCAAAACTCTTACTGTCACCATGAATAAAACTTTTTTACTGGAAGGTTTTGAAACTATATTATTTTGGACCCTCTAAATTCACATAGTCCTTTTAATTTGAACGTCTAGCAAAGAGCAGGAATGTTTTTAGTTTTTTACTGGCATCATACTATTTTCAAAGTACACAGGGCCAAATTAAAGTTTAGGACAAATTAAGCTCCCCTGCCTGTGATTTGGAATCTAAGCTTCTTGCGCCATCTAGCGGTTATGTAAGGAAGTATACACATTTAAGTTTATTGTGAGTTTTTTTTTTGTTTCATTTGATATTTTATTGCAGTATTTTTTACTTCAGAATTTGCTTTGATGCCTTTTGTTCTAAATATTTTACGGATAATGTTTTTTTCTGAGGTAATAACGTGTTTTCTTTTACAGAAAGACACATAATCCTATTTTCTTTTTTAAAACATTGCATATATGTATATTTACATTACACACATATCTACATTAGCAGAGTTTAATTTCAAAAACCTTGCAAACATCTTGTGGTGAGACCGAGCATTTTTATTCAAATGATTATTGAGCATCATATGAACGTCGAAGACCTTTAGGGAATATATATCGAAAACTCCCAGCACAACCGCAAACATTGATGCCCCAAATATAAATGAACCAACATGTTAACCCAAATGATCATATTCTATGTATTATAAGGTGTGACTTTAATATAGCCATCAAAAATCTGAAAGGGAAAAAAAAAGAGTTAGGGCTTTATGGAAGTTTTGGAAAGAAACCATTTAAACCCTCCAACATGTAACAGCGAGGTCCAGGATGGTTTGACACCAAGGTCTGCAGCTTTGGGGTGACAGATGACTGCTGGATAACTGGACTTTGTATGATCATAAGGTAATTTAAGAAGTGTACATATCAGGGGTCTGCAGCCTTTATAATCCAAACGGCCATTGTTATGTTCAGCCCAATAAAACTTATTTAGAGTCACAAACATATATAACTTATATTTAATGAATACCTAACAAAGATTTGACCTTGTTTTTTTAAAATCATCACAGTGCCATTTTAAATTTTAGGGTTTATGATTAAAAAAAATGGAAAAGAGGCTAAATACATTCCAACTTAAAAAGATAAATAAATAAATATATATATATATATATATATATATATATATATATATATATATATATATATATATATATATATATGTATATCTGACATATTAATAGGCTTTTTTTTTTTTTTTTTTTAGAAATTCAATGCAATTAGTGAATGGAGAAAATACTAACCAGCATATTAGCCACGTTTGTAACTAAATATAAATAAATATTAGCTGCATTTTCATCATTTTTTAAGCCAAAGTGATGAGTAGCCATTGCTGAGAGTCTAAAGAGCTACAAGTTGCAGACCCCTGGTATTATAACCTCAAGAAATAAGAGAATAAGTAAAAATAAGTCTTTTTACAAAAGCAAATGACCCATAGTGGTGATCAGCTCTATTTAAATGGCAGATGAAGAGCCACATTTACAGAGACAGCATTGAAAAGAAGTAATTTTTTTATCAGAATAGTTTCTTCTTAAAATAATATGCATTGTTTGTCTTCTATTTAATATCCTTAAATAAAGTCCCCTGAGCTCACCTTCAGAGATCCTTTTTTTCCAAACAAACAGAACTCTGAGGTTTTTTGGCAAATTTTGTTAAACAAAATAGCATCTTGAAGATCTATGGAACATAGCATAGAGATCAAGAGAAAGCATAGAGAATGGGGAAGTTTAAAGCAAATTGCAACTTGAAATTTTAACACGACAGAAAAAACAACAAAGGAACAGTCATCAGTCTAAAGGGACAAACCAGGCAAGGAGAATATCGGTCAAAGCAGATATAAGCATCTCTGGCAGAACTACAGAGATCCAAATTGAAAGCTTAAAGAAAGAGTTGCATAGAGACAGATGCTGAAGGGATTTTCATAAATAGGTCCTGTTTGCAGCTTCAAAGAATAGACAGAGTGCAGGAAGAACGGAAATAAGGATAGATTGGAATTAAAATAAAAAAATTTTAGCTGAGTGCAAAACATATTTGGTGGACCAACTAAAAATGTAGTTCATTCAATGTAGTGGCAGCATTATGATGTGTGAATGTCTAAATACAGGACAGGGAGAAAAGTTTTTAGAGGCTGTGAGGGATCTGAGAATGGAGCTGAAGTTTACGCTTTAGCATTAACAGAACCCCAAACATGCAGCCAGAAGTGTCCACTGTCAGAGAACTATCAGTTTTATTCCCACAGATCCAGGTGAGCAATTATGACGAAACCATACCAGAAACGACTTACAATCCTGTTTTTATTCATTTTGAGGTGAAGCATTGAAGAACTGAAACACAGACATTTATGCACCTGACAAAATTAGATGAGAGAAAAAGAGTGAAAGCGAGAAGGAGCAGGTTTATGGAGAATAAAAAACAAATCTGACCTGTCCAGGCTGTTCAGGAAATATAAGAATCTTTAGATGATACCAGATTCCACGCATGAGTCATAAAGGCCAGTATTATCTGAAAGATTATTATCCAACAGGAAAAAAAAATATTTGAATGATGGCTAAAAAATATGACAACTTCTAGTTTACACATCTACTGAAGCTTTAGTTTTTAAGCCCAGTAGATGCCAAACACACTATACCTCATATCCATTAATACTGTATGTGAAATAATCCAATCATCAGTTTTCTTTAATTCATGCAATCATTTAGGAACACATCAAACAGGCGAGGAAATATTGGGCTGGATTTAGTTTGTTTTTTTGTCTTTTCAGTCAATCTAAAACGGAACCAGGTTGGAGGCTTAAAACCAAGCTAATTAGAATCAGTCTGAAAATTCAGTCTTTATTCATTTCAGGAACAGTTTCACTGAACTGCTGTTCATGTTACAGTACAAACAGAAGGGAACTGGCAGGTAGGTTTAATGAAACACTAAGTTGTTTTCTTTGCATTTGAAAAGTACGCATAAAAAGGTTGCTTTGATGGGAAATAATTGCAACAGGGGAGAGTTTCAAATAAACGTGTCACCAGCTGGAGCTCGAAATACTGCATCCTAAAGGCCCATCTAGGATGTTCCAGACAAGGTCTCATTACTTTGTCAGTTTAAACGCTTATTTATATAAAGCTGTGATTTTGTCCAATTAAAAAGAAGCGAGTAGACATGAAAACATAAGCATTAACCCACCTTTATCCATTCACCAGTTTGGAGCAAATGCTTTTCTTTTTATTCCTGTTCTCCAAACCTCTAAGCTCTCTTTTATTTTTCTAAGAAGTTTTAGATTGTAAAGAAATTTAAAAGAACAATGTAAGTAAACAGAAAAAAAACATTTTATTTTTTATGATTTTATTCATTAGGAGAGAAAAGCTTCCCAAACCAGCCTGGTTCTCTGTGAAAAAGTGTCTCCCTCTGCAAACAAGCATGGTGATAACTGGCAATAGAAGGATTTGTACTTATTCTTTGTGAAATTGTTAATAAAAATCATGCAGGAGGATTTTTGAGCCTTTTTTTTTTTTTTTTTGGAGCTAATTGGAAGTGCATTTTGTTTTTTTTTTCAAAAGATCATCATGTTGCAGCAAAAGCAAATGCACTTAAATTCTGTATCTGATAGTTGGACATTAGCTTCAGAAAAGATTAGAAGCAAAAAGAAATCATACTTCAATTCATTACAGATAGTTGAGCCAAATCTATGACAAATCCCCCCCGATCATACTAAATATTTTCCTGTGTAACAATCTTTTTGTGAAATACGGTTAGTTTTAAACTAGATGTAACGTCTCAAACACAGCTTCCATTAAGCTCCATTCTAAAGAATCCACTGGATATTTAGAAAAGGAATCAAATGTTCTCAATGGTTTGTTCCTGGTTCCTTCATGTCCTGCTAGATGACTAAGGGGTAATTCTGAAGTCCAGACACTCCTGGGAAAGTTTAATCAAAGGTATACATTTTCTCCTTTCACTGAAAATGGTGAAAGTCCAGCAGCATAGAGACAGCTATGAATCAATCTTAGATCTTTGGTGTGACATTTTTCTCTTTTTTTAAACTCTTCATGTTGCCCGACGAGAAATTCCTGAAATAGAACCAGAATTTTGAAAATACAGATCAGATAGTGATCAGGGTGTGACTGGGGAAACTCAACTCTGCTTGGTTAATCACAATTATTTTATGATCTCAAAAGGGAGGGGATTATTTTTATATAACCCTGAAGTAGTTCGGACAGTTCTTCATAAAGAGCACTTAAAAAAAAAACAAAAGAAAAAAAAACAACTTTTGTGCCCAGGTAGGAAATGAATATGGTGGAACACGAGGCTGAAACACAACAAAAGGGTAAACATAATTTTTAACAGGATGCTCCTAAAACAGGAGATTCTTTCTTCAGAACTGCTACCAAATTTTAATTGATCCAATTATTAAAAGTTTCTCTCTTTTTTAATCTATTTTACATATTTTTTTTACAACTCCTAGGCCACCAATGAGAGGCAGAATGATTGGTAATAGAAACCAACATTATACTCATGATAAACCTTACATTCAAAGCTTTATCCTTTAAGGTGGCACGCTAAAACTGGGGTAAGGTTTTTCTTTTATTACGATATAGAATTATACATCCAAGGACAACGCATAAATCAAACTTAAGTGATCACTTCCAATCATTAACTGACCAATTATGTCTTTACTTTTAAAGGACACACAGAACATGGCGCCTCTAAGTAAAGGATTGGTGCCACAATAAAATGACTGCAGGCAAATGAACAGATCTTAAGCTCTGTATGGATTTCATGTTGATATTGATGGCTT